TGTAACTAAATTTATAGAAACTTTGTTACTTTTACGTAATATAGTAATTACTAATTTATCTTTACTATATCATGCGTTTATCTCAACATCGCAAAGACAAATGGAAGATAGTACTACAGTTTCCACTCCACAAGATGATAACTAGACTTTGTTATATGTACTTTTTATATCTTGTATTTATTCTAATAAAGATGGTTCTGGTGGCTGAATTATTATATACTTTGTGCGATATATGTGATTAGACATTCACCAGCCTCCAGCTAAATTTTTCAGATAATCATTACGCATTATTTATCGGACACATGATCAAGTGTCAAGTCTCGTCGCATGCTAGAAATTAAATCATATGCACGATGTTTGTAGTACATCTGAAATATATCGCACGCCCTGAAATAAATCATATAACAATTATCCTGATATAGAATGACGCATTATCACTTGCCTCATTTTGATTGGGTAATCGTCATATACATATCCTTACCGAATATCAGCGATTACTTCTCATGCTTCTTTTTTCTGTGAAAGTATATGCTATTCGTCTTGAATAGGATATCAGCTCTAGAAATTTATTTCTAACGGCTTGTCGAATTGCGTTGCTTTTATCTTTTTTTCTCACCTATTAATAAAATACCGTGAACCTTTTTCTTACTTATTCCAATCACGAACTGCTACGATGAACATAACTAATTTGACCAATAAGCGAAAAGAAGAAGTAACATTAGAGAAAACACTACCCATAAAGAAGTTATTGCGACAGGCCTGAGCACGTAGAAATAAAAAACAGAGGCGTGAACAAGAACAAATTGAGATATCTTACGAATCAGATAATATAGTTTTTGACCCCAATCAAGTATATATCACCATTTCTTTGTGCTAGACTATTTTTGTATTGATAAGACGCACTTGCCTTAGCTTTTATATGGGTTATGGAACATAACAGAGCCATTAGTCTTCCATGTTCTAGCGACGGTGATTTTGTTTGTTCTGCAAAATATAATCTGGCACTTTGCAAGTCGCTTAGCGATGAGCTTTTTAGTATTTTTTTTATAATCAAGTACCGAATTCAGAAAGTCACCCATGGTCTATGTACTCAAGATAAGGTCAATTATTTAGAAAAGGAATGGATGAGTGTGTCTCTTTTACCCTCAGATCGTAAATTGTCTAAAGAAATAAAAACTCGATTGGAGGTCTCAACTAAAAATTTATTAATCGAGACATTAATTCGTGAAGTGAGGTTAGTTAGTGATACCTCTCCAAAATCATCCTCACACCATGAAACAGAAATTCCTGTATATTTTTTGGGGTTACTTGAAACTGATGTTATTAATACATCGAAGAACGATAATACTACTGTCTCTACTTGTGATGAAGATAAAGAACAATGGATTGCTTTTGGACAGTTTTTAGGGTTTAAGGAACCGATCAAAAGAAGAGAGGTACGACGACACCTTAAAAATTAATAGGGAAAGCTCCAACACGCTCTTGATATCCAAAATAATAAAGATTTGCAAGCTCTTTCCATGACTATCATTGAACGTAATACCCGAAGAGAAAGGATTCAGTTAATCATATCAGCACGAGATAATTTTCGATCACTTGATGGGTTGGTGGGATTTCGTTTCATTATTGATCCAAAGTGTATTGCTGATATGAATGGCTGAACAATAGTGCATCTTGACCATCTCAATGATCCAACTGCCATGATACGAGTGACAAACACTATCAATTCTTATTATTTTCACACGTTAAAATGTCCATCGCATAGAAGCGAAAGTTTTTGGAAAAATTTTATTGAGCATTTTGGTGTATTCACGTTAAATAATCTCTTTTCCTATACGAGTTCGAATAGTGCGAGTAGCCATAATATTGACCATCTAAAGTGTGTTAACGAATTGATACGTGGTCTCAAACCATTATCGAATTCTATTAATCATTTTGTTGAGAATTATTATGAAAGTTTGTATGAAAAGCTACGCAAATTGGAATGGGGTGCATTTGCTCCAAGATCCTTCAGCATATTCCTGATGATCGCGATCAATTTCAATACAAGAAGCGATTTTCACTGGGATGAACATGATGATCCGAATTCTTTGTATTGCTTGATTGCATTGGGTGATTTCAAAGGTGGTGAATTGTGTTTTCTGGAACTTGAAGTAATTATACCACTTAAATCCAATCACGTTGTTGCATTTTCATCATGTCTCCTGTTACATGGTAATCTTCCGATCATGAGAGAAATCTGTTACAGCATCGTATATTTTGTCCATAGTATGTTCTTTTACCATCTGCGTGATTTTTCTTCGATATATGATGATTTAGAGGCAGAGATCAAAAGAGATGCTCATGGGTCAGTTGTTCCTATGATTTCTCGACAAGATCTCAATGACGCACGAGGTCTGAATAACCGAATCAAACTCTCGCAACTGAAAAAAAGTCAAACTGTGATACCAGAAAGATCTTGTGATAAGAGACAGGGAAACATAGGTAAGTAATTATTTAACATGGACTAGTACGTTTGTGTTAATTTTTTCATTATATTACATACATTATTAATTATAATCGCTACTTCTTTACAGATTTATCACATGCCAGACGTGGATTGAAAGCAGAGGATGATGCAGAGTATCGAATCTTTGATTCTCCACTACCCGATGGAGTATAATTCGATACTTATATAGCGAAAATAATTATATAGATTTAGCGGGTTTAAAATGTAAATATATCAGATGATCACTGGTTAAATAAAGATTTTTGCATATACTGTAAACATATTAATCGTAATTATTTTTTCTTGGCAAAAGTGATCAGTGTTCTGAAAAAGAATGCACACATAATTTTTATTAATTTAAAATTTTGAATAAATATGTATCTTATATAAAAATTATTATTAAACATGTCATCAGAGCTTGAATTATTGAGACAATGAGTTACCAAGCTTGAGGCTGAAAATACCAAATTAAAACAGATCATAGAAGAAATAGCTAATCTTAGGATCGAAAATACAAGACTAAAACAAATCATAAAACAAAATAGAACTACTAATGATAATTCTCAGTCTTTAGTTTCTCCAGCATTATCAGTAACTCTACAAATGCATATTCCAACACCTATTAATGGTCAGTCTGACAAGGATAATAGCACCAACTCTATGAATCTAGAACAAGCACAAAATGATACTCCTGAGAAATTTGTTTCTTCCAAAATAAATTCTAATAATACCCCAAGACAGATAGAAAACACATCTGATTCTGACTTATACCAACCAGAGATCAAATCATTGAAAGATAAGGAAATTGATGAACTCCTGGATTTGAAAAATAAGGAAAGGATTGGTAATATAGTAAGAGAGAGAAACAGGGGAAATAAACTTCGAAATCAAATATCTTCCTATTCTGAGACACAAAGTGCAATTTCACCCAAAATTTCTCAAAATACCACATCTATTCTGACCCATGACCAGAAAACTATTCAATTAGAATCTCAAACCTTTATTGAATCAGGGCAAATGCCCATTGATCAAAAGCAAAATATCATTTCTTCCGAAATAGCGGAGCTAGCAAGACCAAAAATTTTCTATAATCAGAAAGTGGAACAAGGCATAATGCATGAGCTATCTCTTTATACTAAGGAAATTAGTAGTATACAAGAAATAGATATGCAAATTCCTGAACTTTCTCTAGAAAAAATATTAACAGGATCTGATGAAGTTATGGCTCAGATTATAGTAGATTTGTTTAATACGGCAATGAAAACTAGACAAAAAGAAAATTTATGCTGGTATTATTATACTAAAGCATATGAAGATCGGGTTAGGGATATTAAATCCAAGAATAAAATCGATGACCAATCAGCTAGAACGCTGGTATATAATGAAATCAGATTGTTTCTTTCTGGTATCTCCGATATAAATTTGCGTAAGAGAACTTTCAAAGCTAAAAAAGTTTATATATTGTTCGAAGGGATAGGAATAGATATGATTAGATAAATAACTTACAGTGCAAATGCTATTTCAAGCCTAACGGATATTCAAATCCAAAATATTATAAATCGTTTTCGTAAAAAGGCCAATACAATTAATTGCCAAGAAGTGATCAGCATTCCGAAAAAGAATGCACACGTGGTTGAACTGACTAGTTCAAACGATATATCAAACACTAAGGTAAGCATACCTACTGAATCTCAAATTTCTGATTCTTCTGGTCTGGATCAACCCAAGGAAATGATCAAGATAAGTCAACGGCTCAAAACTCTGCTTCCTTGAAATTACCAGAAGCTGAAGTAAGTATACCTACATCTAACCATCTTGTGACTGCCTCTGACAATAAATCTCGACCTCCAATTTTGATTTTACCTGAAGACTCGAAAGAGAAACAAAATCAAGTTATCAAAATGATACTAAAGCAGTTTCAAAATTTGTCTTTAAAATATAGTACCAAGAATAAAGATTACTTTGACTGTTCAACAACCTGCTCTATATGTAATAAAGACCATAAAAAAGAAAATATAAGAGATAATATAGAAGGTGAATGGGGTAGTGGTGATTATGTCAATACAAAAACTTATCGTCTCAAATGCTGGAAGGCTTATCAAAATTCAATCCAAATAGTAACGGTGAAAGCATAGATTATTGATTTCGAATATTAATATCATGTCTGTAGAGGCACCTGAAGGCCTGACCAATTCAACTCGATATTCACTATTTTTCGGATATGTTATGCATTACCAATCTTGATCAATAAACCAACTGTTTTTTTCTATCGCTGGTTATCTATATCCCACGGGTTGATCTCTGACTTGTCAATTTAAAACACATGACATCGCTCCACTGAGGCTCATTATAACGTCATGTGATTTTGAAGTTACGATGTGGTTATAATTATTTTCAGATTGAATTTGCTTATTCACTTAATTATATTATCATATTATAAAAATTATAATGAGTAATACTAATAATAATACTGATCCAAGTGAAAAATTTTCTCAATTATACGAGGTGCTTTTATATAAGAAAAAAGATATAACAGCTATTCAAAAAAAACTTGGTATTAATAGTAATATAAATAAAATGGCAGTGTCAGAGAGCAAGATAGCAAAAGAACTTGCTGATTTATATAAATTGCTGTTAGAATTGGTGAGGGATTTAATGCCTATACAGGGAAAACTTGGTATAGATATCAATCCTATTTTAGAAGCAGAACTTAGAAGAGATGAAATCTCTTCAGATAAACCAATTAGATTATTTGATTTGCTTTTATGCTTAGAAGATGATATAATGACAATTCAGAAAGAACTTGGTATTGTCGGTTATACTAATCAAGAAATGGCAGAAGAAACTGATAAAAATACGAAAGTGTACTTCCGAAAGTTTGAAGAATTTCATGATCTCTTAGAAGATGATCTAGGTGTATTAATAAAGAAATTCGCTGATATAGGGGTAAAAAAATTTTGGTTTACTGGTGAGGGACTACCATTATTTCCAAATGTCTCTCCTCAACAATTGCATGAAATTTTCATCAAAAAATCAGCTAGCAACAATCAGTATCCATGTCTAGAATCAAAAATAAAGAAGGGAAAATTATCACAAATATATATATGTCACAGCAAATAAAAATTCTTTGTCTGAAATTAGCTGAAGATTGTCGAATACCTGATTACCCGCTCTATTCTTCGACATTAAGTAAAATTATTTGTAAACCATGAATGATTAGGATTAATTCTGCCAATCTCTCTGATACAATTACTGAGCGCAGAAATAAGATCTGTTTCATCTAATAATGTACTGGTAAATATTGGAATAGATAGAGATAGATCAGAATCAGACCATTTTTTATCTGAATAATTAGGATATTTGATTTTAATTTTAGGATTAAGTTTTTTCATCACTTCTTCGCTAATCCCTTTACACCCCTCCAAACTAAGATATTTCAAATTAGTACAGTTGCGGGATATTTCCTCAACAGCTTTATTATTAATTAAACAATAGCCAAGCTCAAGATATTTAAGTTTTGGGCATGAATGAGTAATTTCAGTGATACATCGATTAGTGAGACATATACATAAATTAAGACTCAGATACTGTAGTTTCGGAGAAAATCTCGCAATTTTTATAATTGGTATATTAGTGAAACCCTTACTTTTATCAAGAATGAGAAGGTGTATATCTGGACATGAATGCAGAATTGTATTTATTAAAGCATCTGAGATTTTTAAACCTTCTAATCTGAGATATACCATCTTTGAACAATAAAGTGGCTTTATTTTTCTACGCATAACTCTTTCAAAGTTTATCAATCACTGAGTAAGAACCCGAGACATATTTAAGGCACGCTGACTCTGCTGATAATCTTCGTTGATAAACTCAACGCGATGCCATAGAATAGGAGCACCGCAGTGATGCCAAAACTGATTAACAAATAAAGCAGAATAGAGTGATCGATCGATTTCTAAAAAATATAAGATCTATTCTAGTAATTCTGGTAAATTAAAAATATTTCTCACAAAGTGAGGGCACTTACGTGCCAGACCCTTTGGGTCATTGCTCCATAATAGTTGTGCCATTTTCAAGTAATGTATTATTATATATCTTTAATCGAAAAAATATTTCATGCCTTATGATTATATAAAATCAAATGTGTTAATGTGTACCAGAAATACTATATGTAACTCTATTATAAACCCTGATAATTAACTTTACGTTTTACTTTACGCTTTAGAATAGGACGTTTCCTTACACCTTCAGTCTTATGTATAGCTTTTATTTCCGAACTAGATGTGGAAGAATTATCTGAATTGCTGTCTGAAGTAATCGAATCGGAAGCATCTGAATCAGAAGATGTAGAGATATTTAATCTGTGGGATAGTGAATCTTTCGATCTCCCAGGAAGTATTTTGTAAAAATCATGAATATCTCTTTTATTAACAGATACATTAACCCT